ATGAAGTATGTAGATCAATATATGAATGCTGAATGTATACTTTTCCTTTTATGTATGGTTAAATAATCTTTGAAATATTTAGAACTTAAGTATTGTTTGTTCTTATCAGCAAAATAACTTTAAATACGTAGATCAAAGAAATTATTCTTGTCTTTTATTCAACTGAATTTGATAACTGATCATTCGGTTCAACACATTTTTTTTTTTATCACTATTTTATCGATCTAAATGAAATTCATAAAACCTTCCTTGCCCGGAGTCACCAACCACAATTGTACTGATACTGATTTTGACAAAGTAATGGAAATTAATAGTGGTAGTTCAGGAGTGATTTATAAATCAGAATGTAAATATTGCAAAATCACGAGAGCTCTCAAACGCCCAAGAGACAGTACACAAAATCAAAATTTCATGAATGAGGTAAATGAAATTTTATTTATTGTTCTAATTGTATCTTATTACTAATATACGATCGATTACTTAAATTTTATATAAGGTTAAAATTTTGCGAAATATTCAGGGTCACCCCAACATCATTGCCTTCTATGGAGTTACGAAAGGTATATTGTTACTGAATATTTCCTAAAATTTTATACACAGCATGTTTTCACTATTCGAATGTCGGGCTTTAGCCACATTGATCAAAATGCCTATTGTGATGAGATGTTTTGCATACAGTTAAATCTCCCTAAATGCAATCGATACAGACCAAATTTTTGATATCACATTTAGGGAATTATTTATAAAATTGCATTTAGGAAGAGTCAACCAGATTGCAGTTTACAAATTACATAATCAAAGAGTCAAGTCACATGTTTTTAAACACTAAAATCTGGTATTTAAGGTGGTAAATTTATATAAAATTTTACATTTACAGAATAGAAAGCATGCATAGCCAAGGCCAAAACATGTATTTAAGAGGTATTGCATTCAGGGAGTTGCATTTAAGGAGGCTGTATTTTGGGAGACAGGTTGAGATTGCATTTAGGATGTTTGACTGTGGTAAAGTCCGATCACATGATTTAATACCACGTGCACACGCGAATACAGTAGTAATTACATTGTTTGCCACACCGAGTGTTTTAGTCTAATAATTATATTAGCTAACCAAGTATCACAATGAAAAAAAAAGTTGCGTTGGTTGGCTAAATTAAAATGCACCATGATTTTAAGGCGAAAAAAACATAAGAACCACTTCAATTAATCGATCCCTAGTCAATTCACATTGAGGATGAACTAGAGATATACCTCGCAAAAGATGATAATATTATCTCGCGCAAATTATTATATCATACCTTGCGCAAAGGTTTAATAAAAAAAAGCTCAGCGGCCAGTGATTTATCTTAGGTAAAATTTTTTGGATGACGTTACCTTGCTTTCGCGCGAAGTCATATAATTCGTGAAATGTATGCTAGTTTTATCTTGCATGAGGTACATCTCTAGGATGAAGCCTTAACTTACGTAATACCTAGTAAAATATTAAATTATGGTCAACAAGTGTTACTAATTCTACTGCTTAATAAATTATCACTAACAAATAGATCCTTCAAAAGAACATGATTTTATGATTTTACAATATGCCGATAAAGATTTACGAGGTTATTTGAGAATGAATTTCAAAAATCTACAATTGATTGACAAACTTCGCATGGCTGAGGAAACTGCGCAAGGTCTTTGGTTTTTACATACTAAAAATATAGTTCATGGTGACTTAGTAAGCATATGTGTATATATATGTGTCTTATATACGTATAATTTCAATTATCTAAATTAATAATTTATAGAATTCCAAAAACATTCTCGTCCATAATCAGCAAATTATGATTATAGATTTTGATATGTCGAGACAGATTAATGAAGTTTCAACACCGTTATCCACAGAAATCAGAGGAATGCCAGCATATATAGATCCCCGATGTTTAAAAAAAAAATATGATAAAAAATCCGACATTTACAGTCTTGGAGTTATTCTTTGGGAGATCTCAAGCGGCCAACCACCATTCAAACTACTGACACCTCTTGAAATTGTTTGGAATATGCAAGTATTAGATGAATTTAGAGAAATTCCAGCAGAAAATACACCAGACCAATATATTGAGCTATACAAGAAATGTTGGGATAAAGATCCATGTATTCGCCCAGAGATACCTTTAATCATTAAAACCTTAAATGAACTGCAAGATTCAAATACATTCATCGATATCTAACGTTAATGTATAAATACTTACATTGACATTGTTTCAGAAAATCGAACAAATTAATTCGGAAAAATCTGTGATTTGTAGATTTACAAATAAAAAAAGTTAATTCAATTCGGCAAACCCCGTAATTTATAAATATTTAAGGAGTAATCTAAATATATAGATATGGTAACAAATTAAAAACAAGTACGTACGTACGTATGTATGTACTTAATGCTTTCATATACTGTGCATTGTTTGTTACTTTCAAATCATAGAGACGCCAATTTTCATCTATAATATATGAAAAGATATTGAAAAAAAACTTACGTTAGATAATATAGAAAAGAGCTTATTACAATTAATATCTTCAAAAAATTTGTAAAATATCAAAGATTAGGTTTATTATATTGAACCTAAATGTATATATATATATAAATATATATATATATATAATTTAAATAAAAATCATTTTTTTATAACGATAAAAATAACTTATATTGTACCAAATTTCTTTTTTTTGAAGAGTGGTTAACGACTAGCGCATTATCAATAGTACTTTTGAGGATGTGGGCAGACGGACAGACAAAACTTGCATATCAAAATTTACAGTCCTCCGCTTCGCTCCGGACTAATAAGATCACGGGTGAATTTTAGTACAATAATATGAACTAAAAAGGATAAGGCAACAGGCATGACTATGATATTTAATCAATATTCGGGATATTATGCCAAAAGGGCAATTATCTTGGATTAGTATTCTTATGTGCCTCTACTTCGCACAAAAGTGTAACTAGGGTTCGGAATTGGGTTGGGCTTTTCGAGAAGTTAGCCTAGGCCGCCTCCAAAATACTAGTCACATGACAATTTATCATGCGACTAGCATTTTGAGGGCGGCTCAGGTTAATTTTCAAAAAAAGCCCGAAAAGCCCAACAGGTTACCTAATTCCGGACCCTAGTTATAACCAACCCTACCCTATTCAAGCTACATCTTTTAAATAACTTTAACGAACTAATAAAGAGGATTAAGTGTTCGCGATTATACTATGCCTTTTATACTGTGACTCACCTTTGTGTTCTCAATGACACACATCTTTCTCAATATCCTTCTGCCGACAAGCCTCATGCGTCGCCATTCAAGCCTTCAAGAGGTTGCTATTGAGGCGCGTTGTGTTAGAAAATGTCGATTTTAGCCTAACAATATATATGTTGTGCCTCAGTTAACACTTGCATCAGATGTCAGCTGGATAATAATTATTTGACCAGAATTAATAGATCAACCTAAACTATAGCCTAATTCTAACCCTAATTCGGGCAAAGTGACATCTGACGCAAGCGTTAATCTGAAACACAACATATATATATGAAGTGTTGTCACAATTATTTGATATAGCTATTAGCAGAATATTTACAAAATATAAAGCTTAGGATTATGGTTAATGTTGTTTTATGATTGGTTAAGCTTTAACTATGATTTCATTATTTTTGAATTTTAAAAAATAAACAAAGCTTGATTAGTGAGTGGCTTGAAACATGAAAAAAAAAATCATACTATATGCTTAAGCGATGTAAAGGTTGAATTATTATATGGTGAAACGGGTTTTCCAAAATCCTCTCAAGTTAAGCAACTAGAAGGTCATAGAAAATTAGTAGGACTCTCTAAGAAAGTCAACATGAAGTGAATCTTCATGGTTAGTGCTACGAGTATACCATTCTTATTTTATCGGAGTTTGGATAATAAGTTGTAGCACAGCGATCAGTATGGATAAAGTTTGATCATGCGATATCGTATGGGCAAAACCTTATCCAAATTGACTAAGAAAACATCGCTATTGTAACTGGTAACGGGTAGCTTGGATAAAATGAAAATTGGCTACGTATCAAATATAGTGTAACATTTCAAAGTAAACATCATGGTTTTACAGAATAACCAAAGTTGAAATTTCCACAAGTAGAACTACATTTTAAAGAAAAACTTACTTATCTCTGGAATAGTACCATAATAAGTGTGCGTCGCAGCAAGAAATAAAGTTATGGTAAATAAATAATATTTACGAGTCAAATCTGGATATATCTATTATATAAAGTTGGTGTTGCAATAAGCCACGGTAAATAAATAATACCATAATTGCCGCTTCAAATTCAGTAATTATTAATTGATCAATTATTTAATCGATATCACTTAGCGTGACAATTTAGCATATTATTAATTTTAGCATATATTATTTGTAAATTGTCGCGTAAAGTGATGCGGTTAGATTAGAAATAAAATTTCTGGCGTTTAGGAGGGCAAATGTTTTAATTTATTTTGGCGTAATGTTATTTTGGTTACGGTCTAACCTCTCTATCATCACACTGTCGGGATCATAGTATAGAGAATTGTGCTTATATAGAGGTTTTTTTCTATATTTTTATAATAGTTGGTTTTATTATATAGTTGTGCTTATAAAGAGAATTTTTATATGATGTGCTTATATGGGAGGTGACTACTGTATAGGGAGGTTCAACTGTAGTTACTTTTATATATTAGAGTTAATAAAACAGCCAACATAAGTACAAACTTAAAAATATTTATCACAAAAGAAGTTAAAACAGACCTCCAGTATTTACAATAATAAAAAATTACTTTGCCAGTATGGTTTATCGTTCTGTTGCACGAATATTTCGATATTATTTTCGACAAAATATTTGGAAATATTCATGTTACTTAAAGTAGAAATACTTAAAATACGCGATTTGAAAGACTGTAAAAAATATAAATAATTCTTACAAAGAACGAGTTACTTATTGTTTTGTAAACTAGAACGAAAAAGTCTAGTAATGGCTAAAAATAATAAATTCAAATTCGCTCCAGGAGAAACCCCTAATTCAATGAGAGCACGCGAACATAGACTAAAAATCAAGAATAATAAATCTAAAAAACAAAGTGCAAAGATTTCAGGAATGAAATCATATATGAGCACATTTCCAGCATCTCCAACTCAGTCAGGGAATACTGCAGTTACAGAGTTACCTCGTGAGAAACCTCAAGAGCATACCGATAATAGGCATTATGGTGGGTTTTATAATTGTATATATATTATATCTATTATATTCAATGTGTAAATATACTAATTCTCATATATTTACTATGTAAAATATAGTTAATCAAAGACCGCCTTTACCAGTGCGCCCAGGTGACCCATTGATCTTAATCTTATTCTTGCATAAGTATCTTTATTGATATTTTTTTATATTTATGATGCACAACTAGTCCTAGTTTCCGATGACGTTTTAGAAGAGCTGATATTCAGCAACTTCAGTTGGTATATCCATACTAACCTAACTTCGTATAACACTTACTATTAAGGTAGACATTTATCTGTTTAATCTATGTTAAAGTTGATTGATTGATTAACATTTTTTTTGTATTAATCAGTGTATACATAAATGTGAAAGCGTTGGGGTCTTTTTAATAGTTTGAAAAATATCTTTATATCATGAATTCATGAATCTCATTATTATATTTTTTGTTTTGCGTAATTGAAGTTTCTAGTTAATGGTCATGCTTATACCTAAAAAAAAAAAAAAGTAAATTCGATTTTAAGAGGGGAATCTTGGATAAACAGTACGAAGCGGTAGTATTTATTTACTATTCTTATAACTATTTATGGAACATATAAATTGCGTACGTACGTACGTATGCAATTATCGGTAAACATTACTCCAAATACACAAATGTGATGTGTACGTACGTACGTACGTACGTGCGTACATACTTTACAGAAACTTAAATATCTTAATACACAGTAACTATATAGTAACGATATAGTAACTATATAGTAACGATATAGATACACAGTAACTATATAGTAACGATATAGTAACTATATAGTAACGATATAGTAGATATAGTAACTATATAGTAACGATATAGTAACTATATAGTTACTATTAAATTTAATAGTAACTATATAGTTACTATATCGCTACCATGTAGTTACTGCGCATTAAGATTTTCAGGTTTCTGTATAGTACGTACATACTTGTTTAAATTAAAAAAATGAACGTAAAAAAAAAAAAAAATTGCAAAATAAACAAATAGATATATTTATTAACGTTTCGACTATTATTGATAGTATGGTTAGATAAATGTAAATTCTATATATATTTTTTGTTGGATTGAATATACAAGTATATACTTTTTAGCGATTTTTGTAGCAAGAATTAATTTGGAAATGCCATGATTCACATGTCGCCTAGAAAGATTCGACAATCATTTCACCGACAGCTCATTAGCTGGCATCACGCCAAGTGACAATTTAATAAAATTTATACCACAACTAATTAAATGTCAATCCTACCCTATGTGATGTCGGCCAAATGAAATAACTATCGCAGCACCGACCTAGAGCCATCAAACATATTTCTAAATCTTTATGATCACGTTACTTGATTTTCATTGGTTAAAAAAATCCATACCACTAAGGAAAATTTAGTCTGAAATTTATAATTGATAATATTGTCTACTTTTAATAACTTCTGAAGGAGAATCATTAAATTATTATTTTACGGTTTATATGTTTAATATCATTTGAATTTGGAGGTTAGGCATCTTTGAAATTTTATATAAATTTGTTTGATAACTTTAGGTGAGTGAATCGTATTATATGACTACAGTAAATTACCCAGGGAATTTAATAATACCCGAGTAAAGATTTGCTCAACAGATACGTTCTCTAATTTACTAATTATAAATTACATTCAATTTCCAATCTATATATTTTATATTTGAAGTGATCTCATGATTGCAACAAAACTACAAAATTCCTTATTTTTATAGAAAAAAAAGAGATGATACTCATGAACCATTAATCCTGTACTACTGTAATATATTTTTGCTATCCACGGGTACGACGTAACAACCCGTGTAACATGTCATCAAATTAAACTTTATTTAGTAATTTTTAGTTCGCAAGAGTAAACAAATCTGCAAAAAATCTCTCGTGCAGAGAACACTAACAAGTATATATTTATTAACTGTTAATAAAGAAAATAAAAAACAACAAAACATTAATTATCTCCAGGACTATCACCAAGACCATCACATGAACCATCCCCCGAACCATTGCATGAAACATCGCCGGTACTACAAAAAGGACCATTACTATGATATTAAATATTTTATTCAGTCATTCAAATAATGAAGAAATTTGTACAGTACCGGACAGTAAAACGCATCCAAAGTTTATTAGTAAAAACTTTAAAGTAGAGCTTGGATCCGGTTATCCGTTGGATGCAAATTTAATAGTAGAATCCGTTAAATTTAATATGAAAACGGATGACCGGATCCAAGCTCTACTTTAAAGTGTTATAACTTTTTTAAAACAAGTTAAATCAAAAAACCCTCTGACAAATTGATAGGTTTTTAGATAAACTACATTTCTGTCAGAGGATTCTTTTAATTCCTTGTTTTGAAAAAGTTATAAAGGACTAAAGTTTATATTAGTTCAATAAATTGGTGTTTAATATATATTTTTAACCAATTAGAATCAATTACACAAAAATTAGTCAATCAGAATTGATTATATAAGCATCAAAAAATTGGCGCCTCTATGTATAGATTGGATGTCTTTTACTGTCCCGTACTGTACTAATAAAAAATTGTCATAAAAACCATTCATTGTTATAGATATGAAGTGATAAAATATTCTATTCGCTGTAAATTTGCTTTAACTTTAAATTAAGAATTAGGGTCATTTGAGGGTTATGAAAGGCAGAAATTGTACTAAAATTTTGCAAGGAATTTTTTTTTATTAGAACATAAAAGACAGTTTTTGGGCAAAATCTTGAGCTATTAGCAATCTTTTGAAAAATACTGGCAAATTACACCTGAGCTTGATGATATACCAGTCAGCCGAGATGTCGGAGAGTTTATATGTTAGATTTGCATACTTATTGATCAAATTAATAGACGTACCTAAATT